AGGAGAAGGAAAACTCCGATTTCAAACCTCCACTGCCTTGTGGCTATATCCACTCATGGAAAAGGCTTCAGGAGTTAACCTCGAGGCAAAATCCGGAGCTGGAGTCCCGAAGGCAGCATGTGTTGTTCTGCCAACTCCTGCGACATTGCTGGAACCAGTTGTATTGGCTCTTGCCTTTCCATTGGACCATTTCAGCAGTGTGGAGAGGGGGGATCTGCTGCTTGGGAAACAGACTATCCTCCATATTACCTTACCCAGGCTTCATGCTCTGGAGAGGACACTCCTCGATTCAGAGCATGTTACCATAGTCTCTCGAGACTGAAGGATGCCTATGCCTAGGGTTATCTGCAGGTCCCCCAATTGGGTTCAAAGGCCAGTTTGATACATCTGACCAGATACCAGTTTGGTCCACATGAAGGGTTCCTATTATTGAACACAGATCAGTTTAGAAATTCAGATTGTCAGCTCTTCCATTAATGTGTATTAGAAAACCAAAACAGCTCTCACTTTTTATATTGGTGTATGCAAAATTTGGAGAAATCACAGAATGTGAGGAGTAAACTTGTCCAATTTCAGAGACCTCCCTTTAGAGGTTAAATATTGCTTTTCTATTAGAAGCAGTTCTTAAAACCATGTACCTTCAAGGTTTAATGCTGAGCATCACTCATTCATGATGCTTTTCTACCTTCCTCATAATGCTCTTGATATTGCTTGTTATTGGGCAAAATTGTCTATTTGTTAATTGTACAGTGGTACTTCTGACATCAATTAAGAAAGAAAAGTGCTGCTTTTGCCCTGCCACTGGCCCCTACTAATGGCAACACCTTCTTAGAGCCCTCAGGAACCCTCCCGATGTCACACGTGAAGGAAACTATCAAAGAAGATCCAGGTTAGAAAAAAAGAAAAGAGTTAGGAGGATGGGTTAAAATGCTGCACAATCTTTAGCTGTTTGGACAGTGGGTCCAGGGCAATGGCCACTTGGGCAGGAAGGTAGGAGTACTTGGCAGACATTAGTGGACAAAGACAGCTAAATCAAGTACTGTACAGTCTTCCCAGGTGAAGAGTGTCTCCTTGCTTGCTTGTGGGCACCGTAGCCTAAACAATATTTCCGTGGTTCAGAGTTCCATTAACATACTGCTGCACTGATTAGTACCACAAAGACCAAATGAAACGGTCAGAGTATTTCACTGAAAGGCAGCTTGTTGGGCAAGGGAGAAAGGTGGAACTTCAATAACAAGAGCAACAACCGCCAGTTGGGATTATTCACATCAATTGTCTTGAAGTCACTGCTTTTGAAAATGTGGGTTGGATTTAGAATGTGCAGGCAATTGGATGGAGGTGGGGTCTCTTATTTGCCTTCCCTTGCCATGCTTTCTTTTAACTGTGCCAGAAGGCAAAGAGCTGCCCTGTTTATGCCAGCTGAGTGCAAACAGAGCTTCCTCTCAACTGGCTGCCTCTCAGATGACGCTGGCTGACAGTACTGAAGGCAAATAATGCCAATTTCCTTTTGTTCAATGACTTTTTGCTTCCCACTTCCAAATGAGCATTTCTCTCTGCTGCCTTTCTTCCTTTTCTTTCTTTTTTTCTTGCTGGCAATAACAGATCAGCTCCAGAATTGACTGCTAAATCGATTGAATCTGCATAATGGAATCAGGTCATTTTTCCTTGTTATTTTTCAGATTTTGAACTGACAGTCTGAGAGATATCAGGCAGGGATCAATCTCTGGCCAATGGAGAAGTGCAGGGAGAACTAGCAATCCCACTCAAAGAACCTTCCTGCCATTGATAAACCAGGCAATAGAACAGGTAATTCTCCACTTCTACAAAAGCTTCCTTATCAGGCTTGCTCTTCTGTTTGAACAACAGGGAAATTTATTCTTTCAGGCTATAGACTGTTTTTGCCTTAGTCCTCTCCTGACCCTTGCAAGAAAAGTTTCAAGTTAAGGATAGAAAATAAATTTTCTTGGTTCTTCATGTACTTCAAAACTCCTGAGAATGGAAGATGTCTTCGTCTCTGAAATTCTGACATTTTCAAGACTTGCGATGGGTGCATAGAAAACCATGTGATTATTTCAGAAATGTGCACTACTAAAAACACATACAGTTGCAAAGTGTACATATATACATGCATGTAGTAAATGTAAATAATAATTGTATGCTATCAAGACAATTTTGACTTATGGTGATTTGTTTCAGGGTTTTCTGGGTAGATAATACTTAGAAATGGTTTATCATTCGCCTCTTCTGGGCATTCTGGGACTGCACAGCTTGCCCACAGCTAGATACCTAAACTACTGCGCTATCCAGCTTGCTTTTTTGCTTGCTTGCTACCTTTCTCCCCATAGGGACCCAAGGTGGCTCACAACAGATAAGAAATTTTAAAACACTATATAAATATCACAATTAAAAACAATTAAACATACATTAAGATTGAAAAAAATCAAGCATAAAAGCAACTTTAAAACTTTAAAAACCTATAAGGTAAAAATCAGCATTCCTGAGATAACTTACTGCTTAAAGGCCTGCCTGAAGAGAAAGGTCTTTGCCTGATGATGGAAGGTGAAGATCGAGGGGCCCGACCTGACCTATTGGGGAAGTGCATCCCAAAGTCTGGAAGCAGCCACTGAGAAGGCCCTTTCTCACGTCCTCACCAAGCAAGCTAGGGAAGCTGGTGGAACCGAGAGATAGGTTCTCCAGAGGATCTTAAAATATGAGAAGGTTCAGATGGGTGATGTGAACCTTCAAATAGTTTGGACACTATCTGTATACAGCTTGATAGGTAATTAACCGCACTTTGAATTAGGACCAAAAACAGACTGGCAACTAGTGCAGATGTTGTAGTAAGGGAGTTATGTGCTCCCTATTACCAGCACCAGTTAACAATCTGCAGCACTTTGAATCGGCTGAAGTTTCTGAACACTCTTCAGAGGCAGCCCCATGTAAAACACATTGCAGTTGAACTAATGGGATGTAACATACATTACAGTGGCCAAATCAGACATCTCAAGGAACAGGCACAACTGGCATACCAGCT